GGGTGAGCATGCAGCCAGAGCAGGACCCGCACGCTTTTTCGACCGTTCTGTTTCCAGCTTCTTGTACCCCATAAAGCACTAGCACACCAAGATGTACAATTTGTAGAGATTGGTTTGTACTGTATGTTCGTCACAGCTTACTTATGCCTCTTATTCCCTTACCCTACTTTGAGTTGGCCTCTTCTTGTATGTATGTAGGCAATTCGCAGCCTTCCCCTCCCCTCCCCACCCTGCCTGCCCCGCCCAGCCCTGCTCCTGAGCCGGCTACCCCAATACTGCCAGCGCCAAGCAGGGGCCCCATCCCTGCCCCGCCTCTCCCCTCGACCCCTGCCGCTAGTCCCACACTCCCTCCTGTTGCGAACGCTGCACCCTCCGCAGCCCCACCTTCCGCCAACCTCCAGGCCTCCTCCACCCCTCCCCCTCAGAAATCGCCCACCCGGGTCAGTGGCCCTGCTGGTGCGCCAGCCATGGCTCCTGCTCCCGCCCGGCAGCCAGGGGAGGACGTTCGCAAGAAGGCCGCGGGGATGATGTCGCATGCGCTGTCGCTGAACGACGGCCTTTCTATCACCAAGCCTCCGCCACTCCAGACGCGTCCCAGCCTGGCGTCGTCCGCCAGTGCGGCATTCGTGGGCCAGAAGCCGCCCCCCAAGAGTGCCCCCAGCAGTGCCCCCATCACCCCGCCCAGCAGCGCACGAGGGGCTCCCCTGGCGCCCACCATTTCGGACCGCCTGGATGACCTGCGGCTGGCCGCCACCCCCCCGCCTGTGGCGCATTCCAGCAGCATCCACGATCTGGACTCCTTCTTTGGTGGAGGGGCCGCCAAGGCTCCCCCGCCAGCTGTGGTGCCCACTCCGGGTGCACCTGCTGCACAGCCCAGTTTTGCCAATTTTGAGGGAGCCAGTCAAACGCAGCAGGCCGCGGGAGCACCGACTGGCGCGCCCAGCCCCACAGCACCGGCGCCTGTCCTTGTGCAATTCCCGTCCCCCACTGGACCCAAGCTCAGCTTTGCCTCTCCCCCAAAGCCTGCGGCCCCCCAGCCTGCCCCCACTGGACCGGCTGCCATTGGAGGCCTGCCAGGTTTTGCCCCTCCCCCACCGCGCAGGAGCAGCAGCAGCAGCATGGCCCCTCCTGACGGTCCCTCCAGCAACAAGGCCTCGTCTCCGTCCCTTACCAGTTCTCCGCAGGAAGCCCCCAGATCGCAGCGCCGCTCCGACTCGGTCCCTGTCCTTGGCAACCTCTCGGGCTTTGCCTCGCCCGTCCCGCCACCCAGGCCCGTCCTCAAGGAGACTGACTCCACCCGCGTGACCAGCCCTGGGGAGTCGAGCTTCTCCCCGCCCGTCGCAGCGCTGTCGTCGTTTGGCACCGACCTGCCCTCCCCTGCCACCCGCGCCGGCCTCACCCGGCCCCTCACCGGTGCGGCGCCTGGCCCAGCCGTACCCCCCCCTCCTGCGCCGGGTGTTCGCTCGTCGCTGCAGGCCATGTCCATAGAGGAGGCTCTGCGTGGCGCTCTGTCCAGGAGGGAATCCGCCACCCGGCCCTCCCTTGAGTCGAGTAAAGCGGAGCCCGCGCCCGCTCCCAAGGTGGAGGCTCGCGGCCAGGCCGTGTCAGCGGCGGCTCCACCCGCCAGCTCATCGGCGCCACCTATGCAGGCTGGCCCCGCCGCTGCTGCCAGCGCTGCTGATGCGTCGAGCTGGGTTGCCTTCGACTCCGACTTTGATCCGCGCGCCTTCTCTGGTAGCACCAAGACTTCCCCGTCCGCGTCTCGGCGCAGCAGCTACGAGCTGCCGCCCCCGCCACGCCCTGCGCAGCCCCTCTTCCCGGAGGTTGCTCCCACTGGGAGCCCCGCGGAGCAGGGGCCAGCGCCGAAGCCAGCGGCCCTCGTGTCGCTGCTCGACGGCTCCCCCGTCCCAGGCCAGCCCGCAACCCCTCCCCCTGCAGGTAGGCAGCACTTGCACGTGGCGCCCGCTCGATCAATACATGCCTGTGAATGTGCATTAGGTGCCATGCTGATGAGCTCGCTGTGGGTTGACTGTACGTTGGTCGCTCTGACAAGAGTGCTAGGTTCTTCAAGGATCGGCAAACGTGGGCTGTGGTTCGTCCTCAAGCGCTGATGCCTGATGCTGTTTGCTGCAGAAGTCGCTGCTACCCCCGTGCCCACGCGGGCTAGCCCTACCCACAGTCAGGCCCCACCTCCAGCACAGCCCGCGGTGGTCGCGGTGCCACAGCAGGCCTCCTCCGGGCCCCAGCCCGTGTTTGCCGCTGCGTTCCCTGCGGCCGTCTTCCCTCAGCAGTCCAGTGGCAGCTGCCAGGGTGGAAGCAGTCGCTTCAGCAGGGGCCATCCCCCGCAGGCTGCTTTACTGGCACGGCGGGGGTCCTCCCGTGGCCGGGTCGCCTTCCGTCCCGTTGGGGTGACGTTCCCG